GAAGGGAGCTCAGAGTAACCCCAATCTTCTGACCGGGGTACAAAACTCTTACCTTTTATACCATTTTTTTTTTTAAGCGCAGGCTTTGCAGCTGACTCTCAATTCCTGAATATCCTATGTCTGTTTACCTTTCCAGGAATCCACTGACTTGCATTTCTTCAAATACAGAGTTTTCAGGATTCCCAAATGTCAGTGGTTCTTAAACAATGGATGGTGCAGAGAGACTCCTCGGAGGCTTGTTAAAAACAGACGCCTGAATTCCACCCTTGTCAGTTCAGATTCTTGGTTTCCCCTGAACTTTCCACTGATAAATTTTCCTGGTAGGACACTTGAGAGGTTTGCAAATAGGATTGAGGGACCTAGCAGAAAATTCCTAATGTGGACAGCAAATACTGAAGGCAAGTAAATAGATTCTCCCTTTTCATTAGCAATTAAGAGTCTTCGCTAACAAGGTCTCATTTTAATAAGGTCCTTAGGTGATGCTGCTGTATCTGAGTTTGAGAACCACTATATACAGTAAAAAAACCAAAAAGTCAGTTTCCCCAGGAATCGGGGCAGTTCAGAGACAGGGAGATAAATCATTATATCGCCCAGGGATCTTGTTAAAATACAGATTCGGGTTCCATAGATGTGGGGTGGGATCTGAGAGGCTGCCTTTCCAACATTCCCAGTGAGGCGAATGCTGTTAGTCTCTGGAACACACTTTAGTAGCAAGGGTTAAGAGTATAGGCTGGTGGGGAAGGGGTCCACAAACCTGGATCAAATCCAATCTTCCCCACTTTTTAAAAGGTATTTTTTTTTTTTTTAAAACCATTGCATTTTGAAGGCAAAATATATAAACCGATCCCATTACGTATTGTTTGGGGAAATTAGTTTTTGTTTTTTGTTTAGAGAAAAGGGGTTGTGTTGTCGTTCAGGCTGGAGTGCAGCAGTATGATCACAGCTCACTATAACCTTGAATTGGCCTCCCAAATCTCTGGGGATTACAGGTGTGAGCCACTGCACCCAGCCAGTGTGCTTTCACCACTGGACTAGCTCTGTGATGGCAAGCTATGGACTTTGCCTCGCTGGCCTATTTATTTATTTTTTAATGTGTAAAATGAGAGTGGGTAGGTAGGAAAGAATAGTATTGACCTCAAAGTATTGTGGTGAGAATTAAAAGTTCCAGGGCATAAGCACTTGCAAGGAAGCACTTAACACAGTAGCAAGCACATAGTAAGAGTCTGACAAGCAGTAGCTCTTGAACTTCCTCAAGTTTCCATTTCAGGAGTTAGGCTTCTGGTTTTATGGAATGCTGTCTGAATGACTATGGCATGGTGACTGGCTGGCTTCAAATGTGTTTATCATTAATGGGCTTGTGCTAAGGGTGGTAAGGCATGGAGGACTGAGTACTCCCTATTCAGACTGTGGGTGCTGGTATTATTATTCAGACATTGGACTGATCCCTGCCCGCTGCATCTGGAAATGCGGGGATCACAATGGGACCTAGCCATTGCTTCTCCACAGTGGGTGCTATCTCCATTTCATGTTTATGAAATACATATCATTTTCAGGGTTTACTGAGAGAGCCTTCTCTCTCTGGTTGGTTTACAGAGTCATATTGATACTCTTATTACAAGTCAGTGTTCTGGGATATGAATCCCCTGAGGTTCCTATGGCCTGCCCCTGGGGCAGCAGGAGTTAGAATACTGATCGAACCTCCTGACCATGTCATTCCAAGCTAGCAGTCTTGGCTTCCCTGACTTTCACGCCAAGGGTTTGATTGGGCTTAGAGGTGGCTGGGGCAGAATCCTGCATCCCTGAAACAAAAATGCTTCTTGTGTGTTGCTGGCTTTAACAATTCTGATCGTAGTAGGATAGCCCCAGTTTGAGAGTGGAGTTTGCTACCAAGAGAACCAATGACCAATATGCCAGAATTCTTCAGTGGTCAAGGGGATGCTTATGCCAAAATAAGTATCCTGAAATTCTAGAGCAACAGAGATAGCACAGGGTCCAAACACCAGAAAATGTTAAAACAATTAACTTTGGTTATCAGTCTCATGTGCAGGAGTCTGACTTCAAGCTCCCCACTCTACTATCTCTATCCCAAATGTCCTCTTGGGAAACTGCACGCATCCTAGACTCTGATTTGGGAGTGCCACAGTGTCTCTTCCTGTGATTAGACTTCCCTGGCAGCCAGAGGGAATTCTTGAAGGCATAAATACTTTGATTAAAGACTCCGTCTTATTGTTCTTTTTAACCTATAACTGACAACTCGGAGGATTTTCCTTTTAAGTGACCTTATAATTAGCTACATAGTTTCATAGATAGGAAGTAACGGCCAAATTTTGATTCTATTCTTGCCTTTTTTCTCTCCCCTACTTGGCACCAATTTAAAGAATTTGCAGACAGGATAAGAGACCTAGCAAAAATTCCTGTGGATGATGATATAAACAGATAATAGAAACAAGAAAAGGGATTCACTTTCTGCTTTCCTTAGAAGCCAAGGCTTCACCCCGATAGCCAGGAAGAGGTAGGTACCTCCTCACACATCAGAAGAGAAATCTTTTGCCCTTGGTTCCCCAGGAGAGCAATAGATGGCCTGGATTTCTTGGATCTCCCGGTGAGGAGCGAGTACTGTTGCGGATGAGAGTCTCAGACTCCCCAAGGTGGGATCATGCCTGGGAGTAGCCTTGGTGTGGGCTGCCTCTGCAGGGCTCCCTCAACACAGCAGAGGTAGTAGGACTGTAAGAAGTGAACTGTGTAGACAAAGGGGAGGAAGGATACATCTTTTTAGGAAAACCTAACCCCCCAAAGACAGAAGAGAAACTTGAACTGACCAGAGGCTATTTCACCCTGGAAGAAAGAACACCTGTTGTAGAATCCTGATCCAATCCTGATTGGGCAATCACAGAAGGAAGCAGGGAACAGGGAGACAAAGAGGTGGATGGGAGAGTGTGCTCCACAGGCCAGGCTGGGGCCCTAGGGCGGGCAAGACAAATTCTCTAGGTTATATAAAAAGTATGTATCATCAGTGCTGACACTTGGTTACATGAAGAGATTTAAAAATAGAGAAAATTGCTGTTTCCCATGTGGGACATAGCCATTTAATTAACATACTTCCACTGAATACTTAGCTAAAGGATTCCATGCAATTAAAAAAAAATTAAAATGCACACTGAAAAGCAAGATTCCCTAGTCTCTTTCCCTCATAGAGTGATGATGATGATTATTTTGAAGATAATCCAGGGTGGAAGCCCACAGCTCTGCCAGCCAAAACAATGTCCTGCCATCGTTAAAAGTATGTTACAATTTGTGGCTGTGTACCCAGCATTTGACATGGAGTGGTGTTCCATTTCAACCCAGTTTAATTATATGCTCCTTTTATATATTGTAGATGGCTCACACTAGCAGAATTGTTTTGCCTGGTGAAAAACTGGCCATGACTTGTCATAATGGGCTGGTTTATAGAACCACTGAAGTATACTTACTGCCCATCATTTGGGAATTATGGCACCGTAACAACCCTTTATTTACATATACTGCTGAGACAGTAAAAACGGCAAATAGATTTCTTAAATCGAGATGACAGAAATTTCCCCCCAGGGTACTTGGCCCTCATTGTGGTAGTAACATATGCAACTCTAAACAACTTCGGTGTCTGTATTTCGACAGTGCATCATTTCACGGACAGTTTATAACATTCTAATAAAATGGACTCTAAATTTGGAGTTGGGTTTCAGGAACGTTAGATGGTAATGTGCACAGCAGAGTCTCTAAGTGATTTGTGAGGAAGGTTTAAATTTGCTAATCGCACGACTGCTGAGCGACTCGCCAATGGGGCTGAAGTGCAATGAGTGGTTTGGCTGCTGGGAGGTGGCAAGCCTTCGATCGGGAGAAGGCCTGACGGAGTTGACATCAACACAGATGCTACATCGCCGTAGGGTCAGGGATTCTTTTATCTCTAGACTCCTAGGACTTAAATAATCAATCTTGGCTTCTCCCTCAAACAAAAAAAAACTCTTTATAAATCCCTTTTTGTTTGTGTTCCTACTCTTCTTTCTTCTCTATGATGGACTTTGTGGGGAAAAAATATTAGAATAAAGCATCATGCCTTCACTGACTGCTTATCTGTCCTGAGATGGTGTGTAAATTCCTTCTCCCTATTCTGGCCTTTCTACTCCTTCGTAAAGCTGTAACTAGACTTATTTTTAATGCACACATTGCAGAAGTATGTTCCCAGCTCTCCCATTCCTGGGGAACACCTTGTCGTAAGCTTTAGGTTCTAGAAAGGTTCTATGTCTGTCTGGTCAGCAATTGCAAGTGCGGGTGTCATAACTCAGTGCTACTATCATTCTCCGGTGACGTGCAGGTGGCTTACGAAGTCATATTTAAGTTTTGAGACTGAGTTTCACTCCTGTTGCCCAGGCTGGAGTGCAATGGCACGATCTGGGCTGAAGGCAACCTCTGCCTCCCGAGTTCAAGCGATTCTCCTGCTCCAGCCTCCTGAGTAGCTGGGATGACAGGTGCCCGCCACCATGCCCGGCTAATTCAGTATTTTTAATAGAGACAGGGTTTCTCTGTGCTGGTCAGGCTGGTCTTGAACTCCCGACCTAAGGTGATCCACCCGCCTCAGCCTCCCAAAGGACTGGGATTGCAGGCATGAGCCACTGTGCCTGGTCAACAAAGGCATATTTAAAACGGGGTCCTAGTCACTCAACCTCCTGAGGCTTGAAAGCCTAGGGGGGATGGACAGGGGAGTGGGCAGAGTTGACGGTATCTATGGGCCCCTGTGCCACTGCACTGCACCACACCTATGGGAAGCTGCAAACGATTGGCAAAACTGCACACTCCTGTAACTGTCAAGCATGAGATTACCCTAAAGCGGATTAAGAAGCTTGGTGAGCATCTTGGGTGTGAGCATTCCTCTCTAGCGGAGTCCTTGCACTGGGAGGGCAGGGATTGCCCTGCACTTCATTCCCTCTTCCCTCAAACCCCCAGGCCAGTGCAGCCATACTCACCTCCAGACGGCAGGCCAGTACAGCTGCCCCCGTGCTGGCACGGGCTGCGCTCGCAGGCATCGGGGTAGAGCACGCAACCCAGCTTCAGCTCCGTCAGGCCCACCACCTCGGCAAAGCTGCTGCGCTTGTTCTGCAGCGGCAGCTCGTTGTTATTCAGTATCACTGAGTCCAGGCAGCCCTGAAAGCCGCTGAGCACCTGCGTGACCCGCGTGTCGGTCAGGCTGCGGATGTTATCTGCTTGCACCAGGGCGCCGAAGTAGATGCTACTCTCGGTGCTCAGCGTCTGGAAGTAGAGGGGCGCCCTGCGCCGCTCCACGTAACTGTCATCCAGGGACAGGCTCGTGAAATTGCGGTTGAGCTCCAGGAAGACCGAGTGCCAGCTCCCGTCATTGACGGCACGGCCTGAGATCCCCAAGATTCCGGGGCCACTGCCACAGTCCAGCTGGAACCACAGCTTGCCATCCACAATCTGCACAGGGAAACAACAGTGCAGCACTTTTCAAGACGCAATTGGCAAGATGGTCCCTACACCCTTCTCCTGGCTGACCCAGGGCTTCGCAAGAAGGCTGGAAGATGGGACATGGCTTTTGCTTTACTTACACATCGGTTACGGTTTGACTTTTAACCACGCTGCCTCCCCCTTACCTGCCGTGTAGATGCATGCCTTATATTCAGCAAATCTTGTGATTAGTAATAGGGGTACATCTTCACATTCCCGCAATTATATTTAAGAACGTTTCTATTGTTTGGGTCTTTAGCCTTTACAATTCCCAGCAATAACTGGTTGAGGGGTATGTTTATTCCCTGCACCCTCCTTAGTCCTTAACACCCCAGGAATGGTTTCTGTGAGCTTATTAGCATTTATTGAACATTGACTGTATGCTAAGTAGTGTACTAAGCGTGAGGAGGCCATCTGAGCAAGTCAGTGGTTATCATCTCTGCCCACATGTGGCTGACAGTCTAGTAGGGTAGATGGCCATTAATCAAATAATCACACAAATAAATATGTTTCTGGAATACATTTAGGTGAGTATTTTTTTCTCTCTCCACAGGGGAGAGAAAGAAGCCTGGTAGAAATGAAAAAGTTCCTAGCACCCAGCTTTGTATATATTTATGATTTCGAAGCTGCTCTATAGTAAACATTAGCATATTCTTCAGAGTCCTTTAAGATGATGCTCACGGTTTAGGTAAAGGTCATCTCCCGAGGTGCTCAGGGCTTTGGCCATTTGCTCAGAATTATCTGCTTCATTTGTGAATGCTCCCGGCTCTGGTTTGGGGTGAGACACCGCAGACCAGCCTGCTGCTGTGAGTGCACTGTTGTAGCAAGGGCATCCACTGCCCCCAGGAGGCTAACCCCAGGAGATACCACACACAGGAAGAAGGCATGTGCTTTGCAAGATTCTTGCTGGCAGAGAGCTGCAGGGCAGGGACTGACCCTCCATGGAGCCCCAGGCTGTGAAGAAAACAGGCCTTTGAATCCACTCTGTCGTCTTCCCTGTTGCATATTTCTCAGAAATGCAAGGTGGCTCTGGGATCCAGGGAAGGAGGGCTGCACCCCTGCCTAGCCAACTGGAACAGTCAGAAACTGTGAAACGAAAGCTGCTTTTCTGGCCCAGGTCTATGATCCAGCAAGAGGACCTTGTGGAGGCCAGTGCCTGAGGCATGCGGGGAACACTGATCCGTTAGCATTCGTCGTTGGGCGCAGATAAGAAAGACACTAGTCAGGAAAAGGAAAAAAGGAAAGGAAATCATCGGACAACACAGAGCTTCCGGGTCACAAACAGCCAAGGGGGTACAGAGGAAAAAGGAATTCACAGAAATAGACTGAAGCAGTCCTTGTGAAACGTGTTTAACTCGTAATAGACCTATGAAGGATTATTACAGCACCTCTCGTTCTCACACATGGTGTATTTCTCTAGGCTGCAGTACAGACAACCGAATTCTTAGGGACTCTCATTTCTGCCTTTGTAGCTCCATGTTCTTCATCCTGCATAAAATTCCATAGGTCATGCCACATAAACCTGTGTGTCTAGAAGTCAGGGGTATTTGCGAAGCAGACAGAGCTGTGGGAATTTTGGAATGCTGAATTGAATTCAAGCTTTGTCATGGACCACCCAGATCACCTGGAGAGAACGGTCTGGCCCCTCTGGGTGTGGGTCTGGAAAGCAGAGAACTGCTACAGCTTACTGTACAAGGCTACTGTCGCCACTGCAAAATGGCTAGCCACATCATACACGGTTAGAACACACACACATTCTGCTCTGTAATGCAAATGTGCAAACATGAAAGGACTGAGGACAAGTGTTTTTCTCAGATCTTTCATATGTAATTTTCTAAAGACGGAATCTCACTCTGCTGCCAGGCTGGAGTGCAGTGGAACGATCTGAGCTCACTGCAACTTCCGACTCCCTGGTTCAAGGCATTCCTCGGCCTCAGCTTCTGGCGTAGCTGGGATTATAGGCACGAACCACCATGCCCGGCTAATTTTTTGTATTTTTAGTAAAGATAGGGTTTCATAAGGGTGGCCAGGATGGTCACGATCGACTGACCTCATGATCCCCCCACCTCAGCCTCCCAAAGTGCTGGGATTACAGGTGTGAGCCGCTGTGCCTGGCCGTATGTGTAATCTTACACTATCACTTTTGTCATTTGCTTTAGTTCAGCAAAACTGAATGGATAAGTATTGTAAATCACACCAGAATACTTGCTCCATGGCAACTCCTGGATGATTTCCATATTTGTATTTCAATGTAAGGTAATAAATCATCAAATGTGACTTTGGGGCATCTTCTGGCACAGTCCACCTGCTATTTTTTTTATCTGTGGCTACAAACTGGTGTCCTCAGTCTATTAGGAAAAATTAGTGACAGTGCAATTGATTTAAGTTTTTGTAAAAAGATGTTCAATTAACATATTACTTAGTTAATTCTCCTCTCACCCCCACCTCCTGCCTCTTAGAATAATCACCAAGTTACATATTCACCAGGAAGAATAACAGGACTCCGATGTACTCAAATGTATCAGAGTTCTGTCACTGAGGAGCATAAAATTATACTAACACAACATGATTAAGCTTGCTTTTAATTTTCTGTTGCAAAAATAACAGCAGCAACATTGCTGAATGAAGGAAGCCAGATGCCTACGTGATTCTCACCGTTTTACACACACAAATCATTTGGATCGTCAAAATTCCAAGAGGTTGAAATTACCAGCTTTGTTTATAGGACAAGCTACAATGCTGAGGCCAAATGTTACCTTGTGAAAGGTTAATGATCTTTTGCTATTGCACAGGTAGATTATGCCAGAGAGTGAAAACAACACTTTCTTTTCACGTCTATGTTCTGTCATATCGGAAAATATATTCTGATCATATTTAATTCTTTGTCTTCAGAATAGGGTTCACCTAGTTTTAAGGGTCGTCTTTTAAGGGCATGAAGCTTTCTGACACCAGAGGGGAAGCTATTTTAATAGAAATTGAGGTGTGCATGAAACTGTAAGAAAAGTCTACAGCAATGATACTGAAATGCTTTGGTGAGGTTGGGGTGTACCTAGGTAATTTGTTTAATGAAAAACATAATTTAGAGAGTTGCCCTAATGTTAAAAAATACTTAGATTCCCAGGATCATTTGAAATCAGTGATGTGCCTTCCCCTGAATCTTGAGTGGCGTGCAGCTTGGGAGATAAGAAATTGGAGTTCTAAAAAGCTCTACTTTGGAGTTTCTACAGCAGGAAACTATGGTGTCTCCGCCACTGGGCTCCAGGGTGCAGGGGGCAGCCTAGCACTGGGCCTGAGCCCGCCTGACCAGCGGGAGTGGTAGCGGTAAAGGAGCGCAAGGTGGAGGGAGTGAGGGGCACGTGTTCCCAGACAGGAGCAGAGGACAATGACAGGGAGGCACGCATCCAGGTAATGCTCGGAGTCCACGAGGGGGCTCACGCTGGCCCGCCCTCTCCCTGTGGGCCTCAGAGATAGGCTCCGTGCAGTGCAGAGGCGACTTGTCTGTGGACCCTGGCCCAGTTAGAGATCCAAGATAGCCAATTAGACATAACTCCAGAGCAGCAACACCCAGCAAGAGATGCAGAAATCCAGAGAGATCTCCTAGCTCCAACCGATGTACTAGGTGCATTTCAATGGGTCTGGTCCAAGGGTGAGCAAAGCCCAGTCAGGGCAGATCAAGGCAGGGAGGGGTGCTGCTTCACCCAGAAAGTGCCTCTGACGGGCCAGTCCAAGGCTCCACCTCTGGCACTCTGGTCCAGATACAGCGCTTCCCCTAAAGGCTCAGCAATACACAGCACAGGGGCTGTCAGTCAAGCCCCGGGAATTAGAAGCAGAGTTTAATAAGAGCCTGTGAACTGAGCTATCATGTCCCGTTCTCTGCCGCCGCCGCCGCCGCCGCCGCCGCTGCTGCTGCCGCCGCCCCATCCCCCTCCCCCCCGCCCCCCAGAGAGAGGGAGCTATAAGAAGGAGCAGCTGGGTGGGCCCCTACCCCATAACTGGAGACGGAGGAAGCTGAAGGGGAGTTGGCCGGGTGCAGCTGGGCGAGTCCCTACCCTCCCCCACAAACCCCGGAGGGCTGAAGCTCTGACTCTAGCGGGTGGCTGTGCAACCCACTGAGCTGAGAAAGTCTGAGCTGAACCCTGAATGATCCAGTCCAGTGGAGGAAGGGCACAACCCACCACTAGAGGGGTGGGACTGGGCTACATGTTTTAACAAAAACACAGGAAGCCTATGTAGCAACAGGGACGGTGTTACTGACAACCCAACAGAGCCCACAGGTCAGCTGAAGAGGCGGGCCTAATCTCCCAGTGTAAACAAAAAAGACAAGAAGCTGCCCTAGTAACCTGAAGGAATCCCTAGAAACCCAGTAGTGCCTCCACAGGCAGACAAGCCACCTCATCAATCAGCTCCCTGACACAACAGCCAGGTAAACTCCAAAAGATGGGGAAAAAACCAGCACAAAAGAGGTGAAACCATCAAAGACGAGAACACCGCTTCTTCAAGGGATCACAATTCCTCAACAACACAGGATCAAAACTTGACCGAGGAGTGCGACGAATTGACAGAAACAGGCTTCAGAAGGTGGATAACTTTTCTGAGCTAAAGGAACACGTTGTAACTCAATGCAAAGAAACCAAAACCTTTGAGAAAAGGTTAGATTGACAGGCTCTAACTAGAATAACCAGCTTAGAGAAGACCGTAAACGACTTGATGGAGCTGAAAACACAGCTCAAGAACGGCGTGAAGCAAACACAAGTTTTCATAGCCGAATTGATTGAGCAGAAGAAATGATCTAAGAGATTGAAGATCAACTCAATGACATAAAAAGAGAAGCAAGACAGGAGAAAGGGTGAAAAGAAATGAACAAAGTCTCCAAGAAGTTTGAAATGATGTGAAGACCCTAATCTACGCTTGATCAGTGTACCTGAATATGACGGGAGAATGATCCAAGCTAGAAAAGACGCTCCAGGATA